ATCAATACATAGTATAAAACAAAGTCGCTTTCGCTGTATGTCCGTATGTATGCTTAGATCTTTAAAACTACGCAACGGATTTTGATGCGGTTTTTTTTAATAGATAGAGTGATTCTTAAGGAAGGTTTGTATGTATATACATATTGCACCCGTGCGAAGCCGGGGCGGGTCGCTAGTTCTAAATAAAGTCTGCACAATAACAAATTTAACAAACAATACATTTTATTCAACGCACTCTGATATCTATTGTTATCGCTAATACCAAGCGCTTGCGCAGCTGTCATGGCCGCCATGATGATCTATAGATCTGAATTACGGTAGACAAATACCAGATGTCGCTACTAATAACACGAGCGACATACAAGTAAATATTTAGCGTTTGGTGTGTTTTTCAATACTAATAAATATCTTAAACAACAAAAAATCATATAAAAACTAAGTAGCTATGATATAGACGAATAATAAAGAATTTAACGCAGGCGAACAAAGTCAATACTCAACATTACTCAACAGCATACAAAGAAGCGAGCCACTAGATGTCACTGTGCCGTGACGTCATTTTGTGAATCGCGGTGTTAAGATTCTCCGTGAAAGAATGACCCTCGTCGGTTCGGTGGCGACAGTTAAGACCTTACTTCATAGGATCATTTCTATAGTAAGCTCTTCTCGAGACTTTCACACTATGTGAGTCCTCACCAGTCACGTTGATGAGATGTGGCGCGGTGCCCTGAGCGTGAGGCGGGCGGTGGTAGACCTACCATCAGCCCTCGATGATCGTTCGCTTCCCTTCACGGGGAAGAGTGGGGTACTGTCGCTGTCTGAGTGGCTGTTTTTAAACCCTTTTAAAATTCTAAAATCACTTGTAATCTGCTCAAACTAGTCATGATACTTTCATTATTATTTTCTCCGATAGTTCCGTAGAAGTCTCAAATTTTCACACCTGTACTTTTTCCAGATAAACTTCCAAACTCCAGTGATAGACCTTTCAACAATATATGGAGTAGATGCGTATGGACTGTCTAAAGTAAGAACATATCACCACGGCCTTTTGATACTCGAGAACAGAAGTAACCGCTACGTGCCAGCAAACATAACATACAACAAGACTTACGTATCAGCTGAAATGTTACAAGATATGAAAAACAATATCATTTCAAACATAAAAGACGATATGATGATTAAACTAACAATGACGATGATAAATAAAAACTATACTGTAGCTAATATGACGACCGATTTGTTGGCCAACTTGTCGTCGGACATGTTGGGCAGCATGGCTCCTAATATGCCTAACATGATGCCTGAAATCATGCCTGATAATTACAATGACAAGATGCTAGATTTGATGCCAAACATAATGTCTAATTTTACAAAGCAGATGAACATGAGTAGTCAGATGTTGGTTAATATGACCGCTGACGTACTTGTGGACACCATTGCAAATATATTGGCCAATTCAATGGTCGACATGGTATCTAATATGGTGACAAATCTCATACCTAATGCGACAGAGCAAGTATGTTTACAGAACAATGATACTGAGACTTTATGTTATAAATTCGGTAAGTATCTTTATAGAGAAAGCATTGTATTTATAGTATTCTTGAAACTAATCTATATTATTGACTGCACGGTTGATGCGGTGGCTGGACAACCGGCTGCCGTGCAACGCGTCGCGGGTTCGATTCCCGCACGGAACAACTCTTTGTGTGATCCACAAATTGTTATTTCGGGTCTGGGTGTCATGTGTATGTGAACTTGTATGTTTGTAAACGCACCCACGACACAGGAGAAAATCCTAGAGTGGGGCAACATTTAAAAAAAAATTAAAAAAAATATTTATAAAACTCAAGAACATTAAATCCATTTGGCTGTAAAATTGGTGGCGAGGTAGCTTAGAACCAGGAGACAGCCATAGGTTACTTTTTATCAGAGTATTTCCCGATAAACATGCACGGGAAAAAAACAAGATAGCGAAGCGGCGTAGCGGACCGAAGCTAGTTTAAAATATATTGTATTACTTGATATACAATTTCCTTAAACTCCGAAATGAACAGTTATTTTGATTAATCACACTGAATATTTATTGTATTCCCAGGATTCCCAGAAGTCGGTAATTACGACCTTCGAACGACGGCTTTAACGATATTCTTTATGAGAGAACACAATAGATTAGCTCGAGCTCTTCACAAAATAAATCCTTGTTGGAAAGACGACCGACTGTTCAAAGTAGCACGGCAGATCAACATTGCAACGGCTTCTAACATCTTCATGTATGAGTTGCTACCTGCTTTATTAGGTAAGGCTCAGGCTTAAAGTTCTCCCAAAGTTTTCTTAGCTTCATGAATATTGTCAACGGTAGAAACTTTTAATTAATTGAATTTCTCGACTTCAGCTTTTGTTTATTAGCTTTTGTTAATTACATCTTGTTATCAAACCTTCCATCTATAGAAAACAAACGTAAAACAAAGTACTGAATTGTTGTACCATCGTAATTTATTAGTGACGAACGTTTTACAATGAAATCCTTTGATCTTTGTGCCGAAGAAAAGATGGATGAGGAATGATATGAAACAAAAGAGGGTGTTCTATAAGGTGGTTTTTGATCAAAGTAAGTGAACAGACAAAACAGAATTGCGACTCAAAAGTTACTCGAGACCATGATGTCATGTGGGATGAAGTAAATTGTTTTCAAAATATGTCATTATTGTAAAATACGCGTTGGTTGTATCTTGAATTGACAAAATAATATCGTAATAGGAAACCAAAGCAAATTAGTACAGAATATTATATGATTATGATATTTTTTTTTCTCACATGAATGCCTCGTTGGTCGAGTGTTTGCAACTGCGACTGCCGGGAAAAGGGAACCTCCTTACCCGGGAGGGTTCGATTCCCGAGTCGGGCAAAGTATTACTAGGTTTTTAAAAAAATCTCAGTCGAAGCACGGAGTCTGGAATTGTGCCCGGTATGTGGCAATAGGCTCACCCCCTATTACATGAGACGTATAACATTGTGGCGACATATGTCAACGGATGACGTCATAAAATCCTACATCGCACATGCGAAGTTTACAATCGAATTAACACGAGTAGAAAAGCCCAACAAACAATTGTTGGGCAGAAAGCCCGCCAGGCACGATCACCTCACCTGGTCGGAGGATTCTCCTTTTCCGATATTAGGGAACTATACTCTCTGTTCCCTAAAACGTAAATAGTGAAAAGTGGGCGAACCGCTAGATGTCACTGTGCCGTGACGTCATTTTGTGAATCGCGGTGTTAAGATTCTCCGCGAAAGAATGACCCTCGTCGGTTCGGTGGCGACAGTTAAGACCTTACTTCATAGGATCATTTCTATAGTAAGCTCTTCTCGAGACTTTCACACTATGTGAGTCCTCACCAGTCACGTTGATGAGATGTGGCGCGGTGCCCTGAGCGTGAGGCGGGCGGTGGTAGACCTACCATCAGCCCTCGATGATCGTTCGCTTCCCTTCACGGGGAAGAGTGGGGTACTGTCGCTGTCTGAGTGGCTGTTTTTAAAACCCTATTAAAAACTGAAAAATCCATCTCAGTATGTAAATGGTACTGAAGGTAAAACTCACATGTTCTACACTTTCATATTGTTCTGTTTCATAAAACCTAAGTGACAAGAAGGTCTAAGGGTAGCCCTACACTGCTATTAAAACATGTTTCCAAACATTAATAAACATGGGTAGGAGCATGTGGCCAAAATTTATTTTGGTATAATTATAACAAAAAAAGTTTTAGAATTGTCTCCTGTGTCGTGGGTGCGTTTAAAAACATAGAAGTTCACATAAACATGACACCCAGACCTGAAACAGCAATTCGTGGATTACACAAAAAATTGCTTCATATCGGAATCGAACCCGCGCCACGTGGTACGGCAGCCGGTTCTCCAGCCACTGCACTAACCGTGCTGTTACCATAATATATCTTTAACTGAACAAAGCACAATTTGTTGCATTCACTACAAAACTTACTACAGTGTACTTACCTACAGTGTATCTTACATAAGAGCTGTGATTTATGACAAACACAAAATTTTAAAGAATTTTAATATGAAGCGGTATTTTGTGCTGTTAAAAGGACGGTTGGCCACTAAACTGAAGTCTGGTCTGGAGGCGGCACACGGGATGAAATATGGTTCGTGCCGCGTTCAGACTGGGCCACGGATACAAGGGGATGTTTCAAAATATCCTGTGATAATAAATTACAAAATTATTAAACAATTTTGAGCTTTATTTCGATTACTCTTAAAAATTTCAACGAACTATAGACTCGTGTTTTTTATGGAATATACGATACATAATATGTATATTTCGTAGTTTTTATCAAAATTTTGCAAAACATGCTTAATGCATTGAGTTTAAAGCCAATGTCTACTAGAATATAAGTAGGTTAGGTACTAATTGTATATGTTAGGTCGAACATAGTCGGTAATATAAGTCGACATTACCGTTCTCTATCAGATCTGGGCCGCATTATTCATCAACAGCTTATAAGTGGCCACCACAGGCCTCTTTTCATATGGAGAAGGTTTGAACATTAATCACCACGCTTGCTCAATGCGGGTTGGCAATTTCAAACTTATAATTAGAAATTATAAGCCCAGGTTTCCTCACGATGTTTTCCTTCAACGTCTTTCCGTGGTGTTTAAATGATCTAAGAAAGTATATAGGTACATATAACTCGAGAAAGACACATTGGTACTTGCTGTAGGTAGGTTTCAAACCCGTAATCTCAAGTATAAGAAGCAGGCGTCTTAACCTCTGGTCTGCCGGTATATGTATAATTATATCTATGTACGTTCCATATAAACATTTCCATTCTATACCATGGGTTAAACTTCCGGGCTGCCACGACAGTATTATGCACACAAAATAGATCAGATAAAATATATATTTTTTAAACGTTGCCTTACACTAGGATTTTCTCCTGTGTCGTGGGTGCGTTTACAAACATACAAGTTCCCATACAATGACACCCAGACCCGAAACAACAATTTGTGGATCACACAAAGTGTTGTTCCATGCGGGAATCGAAGCCACGACACGTTGCACGGCAGCCGGTTGTCCAGCACCAACCGCACCGCACCAACCGTGCAGTAATAAAGAAATCCCAATGACAGTCAACAAAATAATAAAAAGGTAAACATTTAATGACAGAACACAATTTAAAAATAAACAACAGTTTCACAAAATAAACAAAATACGATATACACTGTAGAACAATAAATAGGTGCACATAAATTATTAAACAAACATTTAAACAGTAAAATTCCATGTCAGCATAATGATCCACGTTCCAATATTAATGCTATGTTGTCTATGTATGCTCATAATTCTGTATAACATTTCCTATATTTCTCTATAGCCATATTTTACGATATTTTGCAGCTAAAATTGTTCAATAAATTACTTTTACAGCGACTCTGGATTTATACACGGTCATTTAAAATGTTGATAGTATGTGCTGTGTGGTCCAGTCTCCTAATCATTAGGTACATACATAATAAAACTTTAAAATTTATATGATAGTGGCACAGTGCGTAGTGAAGTAAATGTCATTTTAATTTAGCGCGGTACATTATTTATAAAGTTATTAATTATTGTACACTTGACGACCCATATCAGACTCCTATTACTGCTCCATCCAAAGGTTGTCTGTAAGAAATCGCCTTGTGCGATAAGACCGCCCATTGTGCACTATTTTTGTTAATATTTATCCTATAATGTGATTGTGTGGTGTACAATAAAGCATATATTATTATTATTATATATTATTATTGTGGTCTTCTTTTAATGGTTACCAAATAAAAATATAAAAAATTACAAATTCGTACACCTACCTAGGTATCTTCATTTGTTCGTATTGAATGTATACTGGTGTCCTGAATCATCGAAGGCCACTCGCTAATAATTACGGAATTACAAACAAAATTCGAAAACTTAAGATAGTTAATACAAAAGAAAAAACGTCTGCGTCCTACAATTAGCCAACTAAAAACGCAATCAACACCAAAACAAGCGCTGACCCTTTACTAAAGTTGAACAAAGAGTTCCGTATTCGCTGAACTATATAATTACCTTGTACTCGCGTCAAGAACACTCGCTGCAGGCCAGATCAAAGACTTGCCTGCTTTTGTGACACCAGCCAAGAGCTCTCATCGTGAGGCTGGGAATGGTAGCCACTTAACCTCTTTTACAATAACCGTCTTAAGCTAGTTTTTAAATAGGTTAACTTGTACCGGAACGTGGCCAGTGAGGCTTGAGAGACTTTGTGAAACTACAGTTAAGTTGCGAGCTAAAATTTTTAGACGACATTTTTACATTATATTTCACATTGTGTTTTTCTCCTAGTGTGTCATGGGTGCGTTTACAAACATACAAGTTCACATACACATCACACCTAGACCTGAAACAGCAATCTGTGGATCACACAAAGTTGTTCGGAAAATGAACCCGAGACACGTTGCGCGGCAGACAGTTGCCCAGCCACCGCACCAACTGTGCAATCATTATGTATATTACATAGAAATTATAATTAGGAAAGGTTAGTGCTCTCCAAATAGGCAGAACTGAAATTTCGGTTGGTGCACCCACTTATTGTAGAAGCCACCTTTCGATCAATGAATAATGAGGTGAGTATTGTCTAAAACCTCTAATTAACCAACCATAGTAAACCAAACTTTAAAAGCCTGTTTTACTAGGTTAATAGCCGCTATGTTCCAGATCAAATTAATGTAATTTGTATGAATTATCTGTCACATAACTAAAGTCTTTATGTTATATCGAGACATCGAGAGAATATGAAGGTGATAAAACTGATGCTAAATCTCAGTCAAAACTTTTAGATCAAAAAATCTCAGATTAATCAGAGCTCAATATATCCTGAAAACATACGTAACATCAGGCAGAGGTGCACATTACGACACTTAATGCCACTTTTAAATGTAACACCCACTTTCCACTAATTATGTTATGAGTCCCATGTAATAGGGGGTGAGCCTATTGCCATATACCGGGCACAATTCCAACCTCTGTGCTACTACTGAGTATTTTCAAAAACCCAGTAATACTTTGCCCGACCCGGGAATCGAACCCGAGACCCCTTGCCCGGCAGTGGCACTTGCGACCACTCGACCAATGAGGCAGTCATTCAGAAAACATTTTAAACTGTCAAACACCAAGCGGTCACCGGTGACCGCAACCTATTGTTCTATAATTTTGTCTATATTGACGGTACTCGACGAGTTAAAACCCAGATAATAATAATATGTAGGAAATTGTAATCGCT